AACGCGTTGGGAATTACATTTAAGTAGAGTAAATGGTGAAAGTTTATGCAAGTGATTGTAGCTAGTAAAGTGCCTTGTAAGTGAATTGTGTATTACGGAGTAAATAAAGGACATTAGATAAAATCTTTATTACGAAAGAAACTGCAAATTAAGTTGGCGAGTTTTATTTAACAATCCAGAGATCGTACCCGAAGGATTTGGGAAATCATCGAGGTTGATTTAGTAAAATCGTAACAATATTATAACGATACATTTAGCTTTGAAGCAACCCTGCACTCATCCAGCAGGCTGTTCAATCAAAATCTTCGTAAACATCATTACATACATTTAGGCATTGCAATGTAAAGTAATACAAGTCATTTAATAAATAATGTAATGAAAATTCCCAAATCAAATTTTGATAAAACAACATAGCTGAAAATAATTATGGAACTAAGAAATTTATCAAATTTATGCAAAAGCTTATGAACAAACAAATGCTCTCATATTTTTCCTTCTCACTCTTTCTCTACTTCACAAACGACGCATAGTTGGCAACGCAATACGAATTTGCAGAGAAAAGAGACCAGGGTGTCCCTTTCTTACTACAATATTTTAGAAATTTCAGTCTTGTTTTAGCGACCGAGCGAGTGTGAACGGCAAAGCAAATGCGCGAGTGGTGCAATTTTTTAGTTTTAATGTGTGAAGAAGAAAACTGTGGAAAAGAGAACAATTTTAAGATTTTTTCTTTCAACCAAATTTAAAGAAGGTAAATGTCACATTAATTATTGCAAGGAATGTGCAGAAAGTGCTGATATCTGCGAATTCGTAAACAGAACGAAAAGTTAGAGCTATTCAATTGATTAACGTGAAAATTTATGTAGTACATTCACTTTATTGCATAGTGGTGTAAAATGAATACCAGCCGCCATATTGCTTTTCTTGTCTATTCGTCGTTGGGTGCACTGCTCGCTCTACCCAACTGTACGAGTACGACGAGTGGTGTTTGCTGCCTATGTGCTTCTCTGTGCTCAACGACGACGGCAATAACGAGATCGGCAAACGGTTGCCTGCTTTACGGGCCGAGCTAAAGTTGCATGGAAGAAAAAAGGAAATTTTCTTGCTTATTTTCGCCTGCTCGCACGTAGTCTTCTGCTTTGCTGGAATTTGTTAGAAAAAGAAAAAAAAAAAACAATAATAAACTCAAAAAATATCTGTACACAGAAACCGCCAAAACAAGATAGAAGAGTATGATCAAAACAAAAGTGTTTATTTATATTTGTTAAAGATTTTCTTTTCATTTGGTGGCATAAAAAGGAAATCATCAATTTAAACTCGCGTATTCGTTATGTTAATGTAACTGCGGATAAGTATGTAGTTCGTGCTTTCGGGTCTCCTCGATTTGCGAATGATTTTGGGGCTGGTGTGGGAATATGCTATGAATGTTGCGTAAAATGCAAATCAAGATTAAAAATAATTCAGATAGTGTTGGTTTTCATCAAACCTTTTAGTATGTACGTTTCCATCAAATAGCAATAGTATTTAAATGTGTTCATCACGTAGAGCAAGAGAATTTTACATAGGTAGACATATTTGTTACTATTTTTATATTACATATATGTATGTAAATGCATAAAAAATAAATATACCTCCTAATCATTCTTTCCTTAGCCTCTCATATTATATTTATGAATTTAGCTTATCAATCTTTGTTGCTTTTATTTTAATTTTTTTTTTATTAATAATTTCGTTTTGAAGCATACATTGCCTTCGGTTCTTATCATCGTTCCTTAATTCTTTAACCATTTCTTCGTTCTTTTATTTTTTTACCAAATCCTTTTTATTGATCTTAGTTCGATTGTATCGTTGTCTTCTTCGTGTAGCTTACTTTTGCATATTTTATAGCGAGTTTCAGAATCTACAACGAGTAGTATTAACCTCTAGTGCTTACCTTTTCTCGCTCTTTGATAGTGCTGCCAGAAGGATTAAGTTGATTTTGTTTTTGTTAAAAAATGTTGACTTGTGGTGCTGCTACTAATGTAATGAGTGTGTTGAAAAGGTGCGACTATTTATTTTTTCATTCCCATAATTGTGGCTGCGAGAATGTAAACAAATCATTTTCGGTTTGGTAAACTATAGGAATTTGAAAATTATTTCGCGCTTTAAAATTGTGAAGTTCATATATATATTTAGAGAAAATCAATGTTTTTTTTATTATAATTCCAGTTTTATTCACCTAATACACTCTAATGATGGAGGATATTACAAAGAATATAATATTCACCACCAATGCAATAGGTGCTAATGGGCAGCCTACTACAATACAGTACCAAACAGCGGATGGCACAATTTTAAAACAACCTAAAATAGAAGGGCAAAAGGCGGATCAGCCAACTTTTTATTACACCACCACTAATGTAAATAAATTTTTTTTCTTATTATGTCTTATGACGAATATGGTATGTTGATACTACTAAAACAAAATATCAAATTTTCCAGGGCAGCGCTGCAACTACAGTGAATTTGGCGCAACTAACCACCGACGACAACAAAACATGTTATATTGCCCAACCAGTTGGTGGTTATAATTATGCGCTGGTAAATGGTATGCAATTAAATCAAGGTGGCACAATTGGTATAGCCACATTGGATGCACAAGGACGGCTGCAGATTGTAAACCAAAATAAACCAATTGCAGCTGTAAGTACATTTATAGTGAAAGAAATTGCACTACTTATATTAATTATGCAAATTATTTAGTCGTTACAGACCATCTCACCCATGCCGAATACCATCTCGAATATCAGCTTCAAATGTGATGTGTGCGGCTTAATGTTTTCTCACTTGGCACTATTGAATCATCACAAACGTATTCATACGCAAGATGGTAGTGATCAACAGCAACAACAGGGGCAACCAGAAACAATAGTTTTGAATGCGCAGGGCTTAGTACAGGCGCAAAATATAATAACAGAAAACGGACAAATGGGTCAAATTCAAATTGTGGCAACGGAATCGTTGGATCCTGCCGCAAACGTACTGCAACAGCAACAACAGCAACAGCAACATACCAATTCCGTTGTTTCCAATATTCCAGCACAAAATACCGGTAACGAGAGTACTGCGAATACGACCAATATTACTGGTTTAAAATCGGTTAAATTGACACAATCAAAATGCATCACTTGTGGCAATCAAATGTTACAACCGGCTAAACGTAAAGGTCCAAAGCTAGTGCGCTGTGAAGATTGTATACGTGCCGACCAAGAGATGTCAACACAGCAAGGAATTACACCCACTCAAATTTTTGTTGCACAAGATGGTGAGATTAAATGTGAAATAAATGAATTTGTTGGCGGTGGAAGTACTGACTCCTCGCCAATGGATACGCTAACAGCACAAGACGGTATGTTATCACATCAACTGCAGCCGATGCAAGTAGTTTCGAATTCGTCTGAACACCAACAAAACACACAACAAATACAAAATATAGCACCGAAGCAGGAACAAAACCAAACATCCACTAATAATCATCCAGTAAAAAAACGAAATCAACAACAAGTGACAAAATGTCAAAAATGCAATGGATCCGGAGTGGTATTTGTTGGCACAGGTTCACCGGCCACTAAGCAACAAGCTGCTAATGGAAAAACAGAGTGAGTGCTAATTGCAATTAATTAAATCTTTTGAATTCTAATCATTTTTTTTTTCTCCATAGAAACCCCAAACCATTTACTTGCAACATTTGCGGTGGCACATTCTCGCGTTACTCGAGTTTGTGGTCGCATAAAAAGTTACATAGCGGTGAAAAGAATTACAAGTGCAGCATTTGTGGTTTGGCGTTTGCCAAGGCGGTATACTTGAAAAATCATGCCAGGATACACACTGGCGAGAAGCCCTACAAGTAAGTAACACGGAAAGAATATTTATAATTTACATATATTATAGTTACATAACATTTCTCTTTCACTTGCAACCAGATGTCAAACATGTGGCATGCAATTTTCACAATCACCGCATCTAAAGAATCACGAACGAACACATAGCGGTGAACGTCCATATGTCTGCGAAGTGTGCGATAAAGGATTCGCTCGCCATGCCACGCTGTGGAATCATCGACGTATTCACACTGGCGAGAAGCCTTATAAGTGTGAAATTTGTGGCTCAGCATTTTCACAAGCTGCACATTTGAAAAATCACGCTAAAGTACACTCCGGTGAGAAACCATTCCGTTGCGATATTTGTTCGGCGGCATTTGCCGATCGATTCGCGTTGAAACGGCATAGAGGCATTCATCAGAAATATGGTGAGTTGGCATAAGAAATTTGAAATGAAATTATACAAATTTAACATCTATAACTATAACATCCTTTTTTTTCTTAATTATCCATAGGCCAAACAGCTCCACGACAACCAGCACAAACGAATCAACAGTCTATGAGTACTGACGGTCAATCTGTTATGATACATAAACAGGAGATAGCTGAAATGGATGATGATGCGCAACATGAAGTGATCATATCCGGGTTATAGACAAAAGCGGCAACAGCAACAGTTGCCACAAATGCAATTATTGCTGCGCAGAGGTATCAATTACATGCGACAACTACTTCAGCTACCACTACATTAACAGCAACAACGGCGCAAGCGAATACAAAGTTGACTACACATCAACAACAACAACAACAGCCACCGGCAACAACCGCTACAACGTCAATACAACAACAAGCAACGATAACTTTACCACCAACGGCACAACAGCATCAACCAGCCACTGGGCCAACAAACAATAATAACCAGCAACAACATCAAATGACGCAAATTCAACAACAACAACAACAACAACAATCACATATGAGTCACCAACATTATAATACTACTTATATACATGATGCCAATAACACTACTGCTGTTGGTGGCAACACAATAGTACGTCCCCCACTACAAACCGTTAGTTACTATTATCAGCAACATACTGCGACAGGTGAAATTATCGTTGCTTCGACACCAACAGCTATGACATCCAACGCCTCCGGGAATGTTTATTCACACACATAGTGGAAAGGAGCAGTAAGCAATTAACGCCTGAAAGTACATATGCGGCGCTACAGTAGTTATTCTCGTAGTTAATATTAAAAATATATTGTTTATTTATTTATTTTTTTTCCAAACAAGTTGTTGCAATAGTACAATAGTTATAAAGTATACACGTATGCGCAAAATGCATGTATATATGCATCAATACAATATCGGACAAAACATTTACAACTGGGATGATCTAACATATTTCGCTAATTGCAAAATTCGCGGCACTTATTTTATTAAGCCCCCTTCTATTTCTCAATTAATTTAAGACCATTCTGTTGCATAAACAAAAGAGAAAACTAAAATTTTAATACTCAGTTTTAGATGGTTTTGCCAGTTTACTAGGGGTATAACCAAAATTGCTTGATGATTTTTTTCAATTAAAAATAATTTACCAAAAGTGTGGTAGGATATTATATATATATATATACATATTATATATATATATTAATTGGCGCTTTGTAACCGCTTAAGCGATTTTCGTCTAAGCTCCTCCTCCAATTTGGGGTTTTACGACTTGATGTTTTTGCAACAAATGGAGGCTGATTGTTTTTTTTTTTTAAGAGCAGCTTTATTTCATGTCAGAAATACACTCGGAGGAATGGAAATTCCCTGCCGAGGGGCGACCGCTATTAAAAAATTTAATTTATTTTGTTTTTTATTTAAATTATATTTCTATACGTTTTTGGAAAGTAGTACGATACGAGGATTTCAACCTGTGCCTTCCGTATGGCACTAAGCAATGCTAACCACTCGGCTACCGCGGCCGCCGGATATTGTATTTTGTAAAAATGTGTTTTTGATAAATTTTCGTCTTAAATCATAAACAACTCGCGGGCGTAAATCTTCGCTTCATTCGTTTGGTGCTATTATTTATATATCAATATTTTTCTCAAGATGCGGTGAATGACTCGAAACGACTATATTAATAAAAAAAAAAGTTTGTAAACTAATATTTTTAAAACTAAAAAGCAAAGCTTCTCAATTGTAATTGTTCAGTTTCATACAACAATGGTAAATCTCATTTTTTTTTGTGTAAAACTGAAATAAGCGAATACACTTAAATAAATATTTCTTTATATTAATTTGTATGTTACATGCCTTAAAATATTATCTTATTTAAAATATGGATTTATGGATGAAATTACTTTTTGCATTGGATCCCAGTTGTAATTGTTTTTTTTCGATACCGTACATGAGAAAAGTTGTAAAAATCGCGATATGTAAACATTTATTCTCGTATTTCGTTTAGGCCACTTGAAAAATTAGCTCAATAATAAAAATGAAACATTTTATTAGTTAGATAATTGGGTTGAAATGTCCACTTAAATGGGAGTTGTTGCTTATCTTTCTCCCAAAGGTAATATTACTTTCTGCTCAACATTTTTTGCTGGCCATATTTGACGATGGAATATTTTTTTGTTTTAATATAATCTAATGACAGTTATAAATAAATTAATATAATACTTTTATTTTATAAAAATATCTACCAAGAAAAGAATCATTAATTATAAATGCAATATTTACGCGTTCGGCGTGTAAAATTTGGATGTGAAGAATACGTAATATGTATATGTATGCGTGCAACGTAGACGTTTGGATGCTTTACAAAATAATATTGATAAGTATCTTGAGAATTAAGAAACCTAATATAGGAAATTAAATTTGCAAAAAACGTATGTGAATGAATAAATATAAAATAACTATTAGCGATTTAATAATAATTAAACTTAATATTTTAATAAGTAAATCAAAAATACGTACATGTAAATGTAATAAATTTAAAATGAATTTTTAGAAAAATATAAAAACGACTTTTTATATATATTTATATATATATATATATATTTTTGATATATGCATTTGACTTTGAAATTTAGCTACGCATGAGGAGAAAAAGAAAAATACAGCGGACAATTCTGTGGTAAGAGTTGAAAGAAGCTTGCGACACATGTATGCTCCTATTCAGATCAGTGACTAATTGTAAGGAAATTAGGTCGAAAGAGGAAAAATTCATTACGATTGATTTACTTATCAAGACTCAGAAAAACCAGCGGCTCTTAAGTAATTCCTAGAAACTTTAGTGCAATAAACTTGATCGATGAAGTATTTTAATGGGAGATACTGTGCGTTTAGAACATTATCATCTCTTCTTTCAAAAATCCCTTAATTTTCCTTCGGGTGTTCTGGAAATATCTCCCTTGTTTGGCATCTAAAAGCATAATTAAAGCTTTCGATCTATAAAAACATACATCACGGCTTTCGGAACTACGTATGTGACAGATGAAAAAGTTACAGGCTCGTCAGAGAACTACCCTCAGGGCCGCGAACTGATGTCACTGGAGCATCACTTGCACAGCAAAGCATTTATGCTTCGAGTTAAGGAGCATAATGCTTCGCTGCGCAAGTAGCTCCTATTGGGAAGGTAGCGTAGGGAACAAATGTCAATAGGCATTTAGCAGAAGCTGAAAGAGTACTAGATTTGAAGGATACAATCCAGTACAACGTACAGGCAAGCACTGAAGGCCATTCACCAGGAGTCAGTCAACACCTTCGGAGACTGCCTTCCCGTGAATGGTATGCTCGGAGATAAAGCACCACCTCTTCACATTTCCCCTTAAGCGAACACATCTAACCCCCATCTTACTCTAGTCCGATCCCGTCGAGAGAGCTCGCTTGCTGGAGCTCCCGTTAGATGATCCCGGTTACCTAGATTGATCACAAATCTGTCCCTAAGCGAGGTTAATGTAGCCGCTACAACAACAACAACGGAAAGCACATTGCACCAAGCTCAATGCTGTGCAAAATAAATAAATACATATTAAAAAATTAAATTAAACAAATTACATACATGTATATTTCATGCCTTATAAGTGTACTTTATTACCCGCCATGGCGATTCGATCCGCTTGGCGAACGTCTCATTCTCTGTAGCAAAGGGATTGTCAGAGTTGATGTGGTTGACCCGACGGTGCTCATACCCATGTTGTGGTAGGGCTTCGTACACTCTCCATTAATCTGTACAGATTATTGAGCCTTCTGTAACGTGTTTCTTAATCAATGGTATGAGCACCTCTGCTGTCTTGACATTTTCAGAACACACCTCCAAACGTAAATCGTCCTGCCCGTCCTCAATCATGCCCAAAACCCAATGCCCTTCAAACTTTCGATCTAAAAAGTAGGAAATAAAGAAAAATATTTACACGCGCAATTAAGAACCTTTCTTTTTTTTATTATTATTATTATATTTTCTTTTGCAGAATTTACATCCATCTACCTGCACATTTTTTTCCTGGCCCACCAATCTTCCTCACCGCTTTCTGGTGATCCAACTGGTACAAAACCACTGCCTCTCGACAATAGTTGTACCAGTCAGTTATTAGCCAAGTGTTGTTAGTGTGTTTGTAAGTAAAATACAAGTAGACTCCATTTATGTATGTAAAAAGCCTAACTTTAAGTGTTAATAACTTTTAGACTATAAATATGCGTTAAAATTAATATTTTTGGTAATTGTAGACCTCCGACTACCAACGCTAAGCACTTCCATACTGAAGTTTCCCCTGAAATTGCTCCGTTGCCATCAATTAGTCAAGAATGTATCTTCGAACAGATGCAGCAAGTAACCACAATATAAGGGTTCATACTTAAAAAAAACTAAAGGTGATGCTGCACCTACCCAAAAAAAATAGCGACTCAGCTGTCGGTACCTATCTTACGAGAAGGCGATGTAAACTTTTGATCTAGAGATCTAGTTCCGTAAAACCGACTCAGTTGCTTGCTCACTGTTATACAATGTTGCTAGTATGGACTTTTTTGAATTATAAATTTTGCTTAAAAGTATGCAATCATACTGTTAGCTGGCAATATTTCGCCGATAACTTGTGTTAGCATATCCCTCTCCTAGTCGGTTAGTATGGCTGGGAGGTATGTAAAATGGCTATTTGGGTTATAAATCAACGATTCATTCTGCACAGGCTGGTTAAACTAGTTCAGGCCACTTTATTCACCACGATCCTTCTCCCACTTCTATGGACGATTCATCAAGGCAACCATGAGACCCTGTCTGAATTATATGGAAGAACAATTTACCTGATCAATTTTATATGTTAATTCCCGCCCTCCAAAATAATGCTCAAATATATGAAGAAAAGGTAATAGGAATAGCTAAAACTCTCCGCCGTTAGAAACCAGCATGAAAATAGTCGAATGAATGTACACAGCCCACGAATGTGCTAAATTCATGTTTCGTTTTGAGTGGGCCTCGTATTTGTCACTTGTCTGTTTACCATTGGTATTTCAAGGTCTCTATGAATATTTTCGTTACGTATATACCAAGGTCCACCAGTGAGGTATCGCAACATTTGTACTAGTTGCGCTGGCTTCATGAACGAGTTATTACCAAAAAACTAATTCTGGCTGCCGGTTTTAAGTTTAAGTTGTTCTTCCAGTGATTGCAGCGTCGGTTCACCAGAGGTGCGGCTGCGATCGGGCATCGGTCTTGAAACCAGCAGCTCGCTATATAAATGCGAATTAAATTAAAATCTACTCACCTAGGCTTGGAACCCACTGAACCATTAGGACCAAAGAAGAGTTGTTCAACGCCGTGGATGAGGTACTTCACTTTTCATTGCAACCCTTACAAATGTATTAAGAGCTTTGATTATTCGGTGTTGAATTCGTGGGGGAAGAGATATTTTGTTGTCAAGTTCTGGCATTCACAACAAGCCACAATCTTTATCAAAATGAATTTTTTTAACATATCGCTAATATGCGCTCACCACGCACGACGATAAAATTGTGCTTGGAAAAGTAGATATCTTCGACACAACCGACGGAAAATCCTCCACAATGAAACATCCCTATATGGGTTGAAGCTAGATTCCAACACAAGAAAATTCGTTGACACTGTGCAGCAAAGAACACAAGGAAGGTTCGACGTCGAAAAGCTGCAATCACAAAAGACATTCAAATTTTTTTCCACTGGATCTGTACTCTTGCTATCTGAGAGCTCAAGCCAAACAACCAAAATGGTTTCTAAAAGGTTGCAAAACCAGCTGAGCAGCAGTCCTCATCGTATGCCTTACCGCAATGGAGAGAAAACCGGTCATCTACTTCTAAACGTTGCGATCAACGTGTGGGGTGAGATATGTATCGAGAATTGAAGTGGTAAGTAAGACGCATGGGTGGATAATAAAGGAAAGAGGTCGTGATGCGAGAGCATGGGTAATGTTGAAAAATTCGACGATAAGATACTCTTGCAGGGCCAGAAGGGGGAATGCGTTGACTAATGCCTAAATTATACTGAATTTGAGGAAGCAACAGTACTCCAGCCTTCTGATTGGCAGGAAAAATGAAACATCAGGAGATGGCGTACCTGATTCTCCAATCAACGACGCTGAAACAGATGTTTCATTGCGCGACTGTGAAGAATTGTTCGCTTTGAAAACAACAAAACGGCTGGACCGATGATTTGTCGGCTGAGCTATTCAAATACGGGGGCGAAGAACTGATAAAGTGCATGCATCAGCTTCCTTGAAAAATTTGATGGGATGACAGTCTGTGCCAATTACCATGGGATTAGCGTAGATAACGCTTATGAGGACCTATCGAGCGCATTGTGTGAAAGACCACCGTCAACAAACTGATTGGACCTTATCTGTGTGGCATTAAACCTGGTATATTAGATATTTACCGTGAAAGTACAATACCAAGGTACATTTTTAAGTCTTATAAAAGAGCATGAACTTTCATTTCAGTATCTAGGAGCATTTATTACTTTCCTTTATGCACAAATGCATGTACGTTGGGCGGCAGACTTAAGGTTTAAGTTTTTTTATTTTTTAATGTGTCTCCCTCAATTTAAATACACTTTTCACATCGTCAATACAATGCCCTTATGTCATTGGAAAAAAATATTCTTTAGATTTCCCTTCATAATGCCGTTTTCATCTCACTGTCGTCTGAAAATCTTCGTCTCCGTAACTTTTTTTTTTAAATTTGAAAAAAAAAGTCATTGTGAGCCACGACTGGATGGTAGAGTGGATGGTCAGTTTTTGTAAGTCCCGAGCGGTGCGTTGTCTTGAAGAAACAGCACTCCGCGCGCTAACTTATCACGGCACTCCTGTAGACTGCCTCGCACGCTTGCCTCAACATTTTAGCGTAATACTGGCCGTTCGTTGTAGTTCCCTTTGGCCAGAAATCAATTAATAATATTCCGTCGCTATTCTAGAAAATTGAAGCCATAATCTTCGACGCTGACTTTTCCACTGCATTGACTCCAGTTTGGACTCAGGATCATACTGACGAATTCAAGTTTTATAAACTGTTACAATGCTGTTGCAAATTGTGAAAATCATGCATAAACTCTCCAGCTCGTTCTTTGCTAATTTGTAATACTCCGGGCGGAATCATCTTCACAGGACTCTCTTCCTTGATGAAACAGCCGAGCACATTTTTGCACCATCGTATATGAATGGGCAGAGTCTTGAAGAACCGATGACATCTCTTTAAAGTTTTCGTTTACATAGTGCTGTTGCTTGTTTCACGAACGAAATGTTAATTTATTACGTTCATTAAAAAAAAAGTTGTGATATTTATATTATATTAATAATGAGTCCCACAATTGGTGTTATCAGTAACGAGGTGATGTGTCATCTCTATATGCCTTAGGTGGCGAAATTAAAAAAAAAAATTCTCAAAAGATGTTTTAGGGTCTTAGGAATAACATCTCTCTCTCTCAGTTCTCTCAGTTATGCCTAGAGCGATTTTAAATTATAAGCGCGTTTTTCTCGAAATCACTTTTCTTAAACTGGTCGCAGACATAACTCGAACAAATATTCACCGATTCTTGCGAAATTTCGGCAGTGCATTCGAAATACCGTTCTCCAGAGACGGCCGTCGTTTCTTTTTATGTTATACAGTTCTTTTTTAATCAAAAATTTTATGTCGTTTTTTATAGAGAAAGTTGTTTTGCTTTTTGTTCAAACGTGCACAATTTTGCGAAAAAAAACAAAAAATCGAAAAATTCTATATGCGTCCCATGTTCTTGTTATACAGAAACTAAAGAAATTTTATTTTTTGCACTAAGCCCGGCCATAGACTCATTAGAAGAAAATGCGTCTTCGAAGTGCTGGACAGCGGCCATTTAGAAATTAATTCACACGAAAAATTTTGTGTTTGTACCATGAAAACAATATTTTTGAACCTATTTAACAAATTTTTTGCGCTCTAGATGAGCTTCCCCCCTTAACTAAACTACTTACATGCATTAAGTTCTCAATATAAATAATAAATACAGTTAGTTTTTTTTTGGCATAATTTATTAAATAATTCACTTATAAATTTATATCATAATCATAATCAATAATAATTAATATTAGTTTTTGAAATCCTTTACGTACTCCACCAGCACACTTATTAGCTACGCCAAAGAAAAAAAATTATATTAAACAAAAACGAAAATTAGTTCTAAATACAATAGTTATGTATGCTTGATAAATTGTTTGAGTTTTTGCTTAAATTGTACTTAGGTAAATAAATTTTTTTTAATTTTTTAAAAAATTTTACTAATTAGGAATAAATTATCTTATTGTTTCTTTGTATTTTAGTATATCTATGAATGTATGTATGCATGTATGTTTGTGTGTGAATGTTTTTATGTATATGTGACTGAAACGAATTCACGAAATAAGGCCATTAGCTGCTTAAAAATACGTAAATATCTAAATTTTAAATATTTTTATTCATTTATTTATTTATTTATTTATTTTAATACATAGTTCAATTGTTTTGTTATATCAGCTTATCAATAATTATGCACTTATGAGAATGAATCTGATTTCAATTGCAACACAATAAAATAGTTTTTAGTTTCTGCTACTCAAGCGTTGAAATGTTAAATTTTTTGTTTGTTTTTTTTTTTTTTTTTTTAATTACTTGCTAAGCTTCTCTCTGCTCACAACGATTTTGCCATTAATTTTTTATTTGCTATAATGACTTTATTGAATTATTTCACTTTTTTATATTGTATTTGTAGTATTGGTTTGTATGTATGTATGTATGTATGTGACGCTCTGTACACAACTTGCTAGCCAATTTTAGTTTTGGCTTAATTAATTCAATGCGTTTGCGATCTTCATTTCTAATGCTTTCAAGTACTCATATTTTTGATTCAACATTTTGCTTGCTTTTTTCTTACATCTAACCTAATAATCCTTATGCTGTGATTAATTTTGTTGTTGCTATTTTATTCATTTGCAATGGAAGCTATAGGATGTATTTTTTGATGCTTTAAATATGTTTATTGTATGATTTACCGTTCAAAATACCCGATACCGAAATCGTATTTTATATTATCTTTCACTTTAGACTTGGACATTTCATTTCTAGATGCATCTCTAGAGACATATACATATATATGTATATATGTATATATTATATATCATTTGCGCTTTATGAGACGTACATACTTTTACTATTTTTTCTCTTAATGAATTTATTCCGCACGGTTTGAAAAATTTTCGAAAAACATATCAGTTGAGACTCAAAATAATTTTAACCGCCAGGGGGTTGGCAGTGGTGCTGCACTCAAATGCGTTTTCATTAAAACTTCACTTTGCAAACCAGTGACTCACCCCTGACTCCAGCTCCAAGATACTCGTTGAAAAGAGTTTAGTTAAAAAATTACTTGATATATTTCAGCTTTTTAAAATAAAAGTAATTTCCCAGAGCTTTTTCGAAACACGTTCGTTAGTATGGAAATTTTATTTGCAATTATACTATACATATATAATTGTTAAAAATTTGTCATTGTGTTGCCTGTATATGCACGTATGTATGTATGTATGTATGTAATATCTCAGCTAGAATAATGCGTCAGCAGAATTAGAAATAATTAACGATAACGAGAGACTATGTAGAGTTTCGAACATTTTTTCCCACAATTCGATGGGAGTCTCAACAATGGCCAAAGTGTAACTAATTGTAAGTTCCAAGATTGACTCCTTTCCGCCTATAATCCAGCGATATTTATATGAATTTAGTATTGCATTTTTTGATTTTTTTTATTATCTAATAATCACCAATGATTTCCTTATATATGTTAAACACTAAGAAAGCACATGAAATTAACATTATCTAGCTAAATACGAATATGAAGAAGAAATATGTATGTATTACTCGTATATATGTACATATGTAGGTATGTGTTTTTTCTAATTATGTTTGCTGTAAAGAAATTTAGAATTTGGTAATTTACTTATTAGTCGTAAAATGAAAGTTTGATTGATATGAGCGAATTGTGGAAGAGTTTGTAGAGCGATTATAAATACATACGTACATATGTATGTAAGATGATGAGTACTTGACGAATTTTCATGCGAGTGCAGTATGCAATTTTTGGAGTATAGCGAAATGGGAAGCTTATTTTGTTCATATATCAGGCTATAAGAGAGTTTGATTACAAGACTAAATGTGTGTATGTATTTATAGGTATTTTCCTTATAATTTTCTTAAGAACTAATATTCAAGCAGAACGCTCTTTTCCTCATCTCTCTCTCTCTCCCACTCCCTCTCTTTAGCTGAAGGCTGACCTTTTCCTCTACATGCGTGTGCTCTCTAATGTCAATCCGCCAGCGGCACCATCTGTAGTTGTTGCTGCTGCTGCTGCTGCTGCTGTCAATAATAACAGATCGGAGGCTGTCGAACTGGTAGAGCCTGTCGACGATGAACGTTTCTTAGTACCGCCGCGACCGTTGCCTTTTAAAAATCAACTTGTGGAACGTGTTAGCAGCTCGTCGTCATCTAGTTGTGCCAGCGCTGCTGTAGAGCCCACATCAATGGACGTGACGCGATTATTGCCATCCGAAGCCGATGGTAACTTTATGACATCACTGTCGGACGTATGCACGGGCATAATGATGCAGACGAAACTTTTGCCCGTCTGTGAGTCGCGCGGATGTAGTGTTACCGGATTGAATTTATCAGTTTGTCCATCGGTGTAGGTTTGCAAACGTTGATATATTTCGGGATAATGTTTTCGTAAGAGTACGCCACGTCGTGACAATATGTCCAAGATGTTTGTGAGTATGAGTTCACCTTGACCGTTATTCGAACGTAAGTTGGGATTGAATGTTAATATGAGTATCTCGGTGGTTGGCTCCGGCACTGTAACCACGGTCAGAGATGTTTGCTGTTGAAGTTGTTGTTGCTGTAGGGCATGTTGCTGTAACTCCAGTTCAGCTAGGATGCTCTTGCAGAGTTTCAATTTGGCACAACGCGAGACCAGCTGGCGTTCCCAGCGTACTGGCGCCTGTCCCATGCCCGGCGCTTCGCTGACCACACATATGGCCACATAAATGAGCATCTTCGAGTCTGGCTTGTATTCGGTGCTGAGCTTAAGCAATTCCGAGTACAGTTCAAGACCCATTTCGGCGGGCATCAGATCGGGCCAACGCACATAGGACGCCTCGCCCATACACTGAAAGCCGTGCTTGATGAAACTCTCAGCCGCTTCAGCGGAACGGAAGAGCACCCGCACAACGCCCCGTCCTTGCGACAAGAAGCCCTTGCGTGCCAGTAAACTTAAATGACGCTGCGAGTCAACATCATCCTTACATGTGGCTAACACTTGGCGGCACAAATTCGACGCGCGTGAGTGTAAACACGCTTTGCGGTGTTTCTCCCAGTGGGCGCGCCGACATTCACGCGAACAATATAAATGGGTACAATTGTGGCATGACTTGTAATACTTTTTGGCGTCTGCGGGTGTGGCGCTACGATCGCACTTGGTGTTGCGGCACTTGATCTGCAAATCTGATGCGGTCTTATTATTGGACTCGGAACTGTCGCCGAGCGAGACACGGCGCGTCGACAATGTGGCGTTCCCGGTGCTGATGACACCGCCACTACCGACTCCGATGCTGCCACTGCCGACGCCGCCGGCGAGGACTGACGGTTGGCTGTTGCTGGAGTCTTGGTTTTGGTAGTGGCCAGTGTTGCTGTTGCTGTGCGTCGGTAGGCCGACACTGTTGCTGGCTGATGAATTGGTTTTGGCATATTGTTGGTTGAGTTGCTGCGGTTGTTTTTGTTGTTGCTGTTGTTGTTGTTGCGGTGCATCACCTTCACTGCGTCGTCGCAGACGTTGCTGCTCGGCTTGCAATTGCACCAATAGTAATTGTTGTTGGGATTGTTGTAGTTGTGTCTGGGATAGGGGATTTGTCGTTGGCTGCTGTTGCTGTTGCGGCATATGACAGAATGTTACCAGGGACTGACTAGCTGAATCGCCTGCGGAAAGAGAATAAATTTGGTTGGAGAAACGTTTCACAAGCTTGGCTATTTCGATCTTAACATCATACAACGTTTGCTAAGTAACTCCTAGGCAATGCAATACAACGGTTCTAGGCATTCGCAGTGAAAGTGTCAAACTTAAGATTGAATGAAAAGAAAAAAAAATGTCGCACATAAACAGTAAATAGGAAATTTAAGATGTTTGAGTATAAGGACATTGTATCGTAGGAATGAGTTTAGCATGCTTGGAGGGATTCAATCGTACTACTTGCTTTTTAACTGGCACCTGAGATTTGAATAGGAAATTTACAAAAGTTTTGACGAAATGTAGTATTTCATGAAGACGATTTCCTGCTTTCAGGCATTGTAAATACCTAATTTCTTGTAAATTTTAATTACCTACATATGTGACAATATATTAGGTCAAGTAAAAGGTCATCCATTATTCTTAGAATATAAGGGTTCAGGGTTAGGTTGTGGTGACTCTCATTGTGGTGTCACAAAAACTTAACTATCCGTCTTAATATCCAGCCATTTTGATTCCTCATCCCATCGGCTACATTCTACAGACCATCCCGCAATATATATAACTGGCGCTTTGTAACCGCTAAAGCGATTTTTCGTTTTGATATTTTTCCAACTAATGGAGGGACGTACAGTTTAAACTAAGCCGCCTCCAAACGGCTGATTGTTTTTTTTACGAGGAGCCTTTATTTCATATCCGAAATACACTCAGAGGGGTTGACATTCCCAGCCGAGTGGCGAGCGAAATTTGAAAATTTATCATAACTTTTTATTTAAATTTATTTTCTATAACTTTTTGAATCTTAGTACGTCACCAGGATTTGATCCCGAGCCGTCCGAATGGCAGCACGCAATGCTAACCACTCGGCTACCGCGGTCGCCATCCCGCAGTAAGGTCTCAAAGTTCCGAAACCTAGCTATGCTCAAAGCAGGACAGTAGTATAAGAGATGGGTGATCGCTTCCTCCTCCTCACTAACCCTGCAGCATCTTCAATAGGGAGCTTCTAGTCTTTCCGCATGTCCTCTTATCAGACAGTGGCCTGCCTGACAGTACTCCTATTACTTGGCTCGCATTTCCTCTTTTTAAGGAGTATATATCTCGTGACCTTTTCTTTTCCCATTCCTGTAGGCCATTGTATAATTCCACCTTTAGGCGGTTAGTTCATATGTTAAACCCTTGAAAAGCAGTGTGCAAGTGGCAAAAGGCATACCAATGCATTATTTAATGTAAGGCTTTGGTGATATGTATTTAGCGATCAGATTATACTAGACGGCGCCAGAAAGATCATATTTGTACTAAAAAAGATAACGGGTGATGTGTTTGAACGCATGTCAAAGATCGATCGGATGGTAACTAGAGATGAAAAGTGGATCACTTACAGCAAACGTCAAGCGGGCTCCAAACTAGGAATGACGGTCACAAAAATTTTGTTGCGTATTTGGTGGGGTCAGCAAGTAACCAACCACTTTGAGCTGCTGCTCTTACGACAAAAAGCGCCCAGCTTTGGCCAACATGAATTGAATTGTGCCTCGTCAAGACAACGCCAGGCCACATACTTCGATAGTGACTCACGAGAAGCTCCGAGAAGTTAATTGTGATGTTTTTATGCATCCAACTTATAGTCCGAAACTCGCATCAAGTGATTACCACTTGTTTCTGTACATCGTGACGAATTGGCTTCAAAAGAAGTCTGTGAAAATCTATTGTCCCAATTTGGTGTCAATGGGGACAAGGGTTACAATGAGGGCGGCGTAATGATTTCAACAAGGCAAAAAGCAACATGATCAAGCAAAACGGTGCATGTTTGACCTAAATCTGATAATTTCAACTATAGCAATAAAACCTTCAGTTTGATAAAGGATAATGGATGGCTTTAGACATAACCTAATATTGTAAATTACGAAAAAAATTGGAAATAATAGATTCTTATGTTATAATGCTTAGTCCTAAAAATTTCGAATATCAATGTATCCAAATAAAAGATTTTCGTGAAAGATTTATTTACATTTTGAGATAGGCAAAATAAAAATGAGTTTCAAATAGTCCTAGAAAATTTTACGTCACAGAAACTTTTTTTTTGCTCTCTTCTTAGTATAAAAACTACTTGCTTTAGAGCGTAAATAAGCCCTCAAAACATATATCTAAAAGTTGATTGATATTTAGGTGACGCTAGTTTTATTGAATAATTTTCAATTTCATTTTACTTTAAATTAAATCAATTCGATTGTATTTTAATTTACTTTATTTAATTTAATTTTATTTAGTTTATATCATTTTATTAATTTTTCTAACTTTTTATTTAACTTTATTTTACTTCGTTTTCTGTTTTTTATATTTTTAATTAATTTAATTTATTTTATTTTGTTTGTATTTCATTTTATTTTGTTTTATTATTTTATTTTCTTTATTTTATTGCATTTAATTTTTTTTTTAAATATTATATATTGTTTTAGTTTCTCTATTTATTTTATATTACTTTATTTTAATTTATTTCATTTATTTTACTTTTTTATTTAATTTAATTTAATTTATTTTACGACACCTTCCAAGCTACCCAGCACAAATACTAGTCAAATGAGCTATGCCAACTTCCTAAATATCAGTGAACAGACCCCATCGGATAATCCTTCTAGTACTGTTGTTGAGGAAATGATTCTTAATCTTAATCGTGTAACAATTTTTATCAACCATGCATAGCCCAAAACCAAATGCTTCAAACCCTAGTGACAAAAAAGCTCAGGATTTGTTAATAAATTACTATTCAAATTATTTTTCAGAATTCACAAAATGTTGTGCGTCTTCGGAACACATCTCATCTATAAATATAATTTTTATATCTCTGGGCTTAAGCTGTACCACACTAATCACCCAGATGGCATTTAATTTCGCTAATTCTTGAAATTAGGGTGGTTGACTTTACTTTGGCTGCGATTTACTGTCCGCGACTTTTTAATGACTAATGAAGATAGATTTTTAGCTGAAGGTATCTACAATGCGAAGCGAACCTACTGGGGATTTAGACTGATTACTCCAATGGGTCAAGGTGAGGTTAGTTACTAGTTACTCAAGAACACCCCAATCGGTTTCCATGATTGGTGGCTGTATATACGGGAAAAGTATACGAAGTGGGTTAACGACCGAAGTATTCGAAAAAGACGTAATTTTTGACCGATTTTCTGGAACTATGGTACATATGTATGTAGGAAGCCATGTGTCTTTACATATTAAAGGGAGCGTATTTTCTTCGGGGAAGTTGACTTGAGACCGATCTAATTCAAAAAATCTTATTTATGGTTTTAATATAAAAATATTTGGAGTAAGTTCCTGCGAAAGTGAACCATGGAGATAAGATGTCACTGGTCCATCCTATAACTCGATATACGGCATCATACGTTGATATTTTTTTTTCGAGAAGTAGACGTGAAGCCGGACTATTCGCAAAATTCGTATTTATCGTTCGGTTAGTTTGAATCAGGCAAATGTTGTACTTTTCTTTCCTGAAGCGACTGATTGTTTTTAGGATTGTTTACTTTAATAATGCGTTTTATAAGCGAAAAATCTTGGTCGACTTAAAAATCATGCAATTATAAGTCAAAAGGTCTGTGGCAATCAAATAGGAGAGGAACGAGCATAAATAAATGAAAGGAATCGTGACTGCGGTTGCCGTGGTTAGCATTGCGTACTGCCATGCGGTCGACCCTCGGCGGGGAATGTCAACCTCTCCGAGTTTATTTCTGACATGAGGCTGCTTAGTATAAACTGTGGGACCTGCAGTTTGTTGAAAAACACCAAGGCGAAAACCACAAATTGGGGAGGAGCTCAGCCGAAATCCGCGGTTAGAAAGCACCAATTATATATAATGTTAGCATGAATTTCGCACAGTCACATTGGCTCTTCGCGCGTTGCAATTCGTTTTAATTTTCATTTTTACTAATTTCAATCACCGAACAGATTTTTATTTTCAGATAACAACAGCGTTGTGAAGTAAATATGTATAATACATCAACTGATGATTAGCCAGTTATTCAATATTTTTAAGACTGGATGCGAGATATTACAGCTAATATTTTGTGACCTATTTCTTTTCAAAAATATTTATATATCCGACAGATTTAACGTTCACGAAAGAATAGTTAGACTCACAGCAAAAACTATTGACTTTTCTGCTAACTTAAATGTGTATTAATATTTCATAAATAAGTATAATTTTAATAAATTCTAAAGTATTAGTTAGGCAAGATCTTAAAATTATTTAAATTTTATTTACTCGAAGTACTTTGCATACAAATTCGGGTAATAATATAATGTAAAGGACAATAAGCTAGACCTTAAGTTTCCTATCAAAAACTACTTCCATCAATGCCGACGGCGCAATAGTCATGCCTATTCACATATGATTTCATTTAAAATAAACTTAATTATAAATTAATAATATGTTATGAATTAATAGTTTAAATTCAATGAACAACTTTTATTGATTATAAGGAAGAAACACTAAATGAAAACAATCGTTTGTAATACAATTCAGTATATATCAATTAAAATTTATACAATTTTATAGGAAATATACCATACACATAGTAAAACACCGTTAAACGTTCTTTATCGTATTGAAAAAAAAAACTTCAATGTTTGCCGCAAAACACATTTTGAACAATTATGAACTTCAGAGCACAAATATTAGAGGTTAGATTATATTAAATTGTTACTTTAGAATAAAAAAAAACAAACGATTATGTATGTTGTATGTACGAGTATATTTTTGTGATGGAACAAAACTTACAGGTTCATACCTGTCGTCGTGGACCGAGCGTATGGATCGCTTGTGGAGGATTGACCCGCGTTGACGCCGACGCTAGCGCCTAGACCTGCACCCGCACCAGCGCCCACGTTCACGCTCTGCACTCCACCGCCACCACCACTGGACGACGCTGAAGACGATGGCAGTCCTAATAGTGAAGCTAAGACATCTTCTAGCGAGGCGGTGCTCAACGAGCGTTCTGGCGCTAAATTTAAGAATTTCAATTCGATTTGTATTTTTTTTTATGATGACGAGCGTTTTTTAATGAGTTTTTTTATTGTAATTTTTATATGGTTTAAAGAAGAGCGTATGAGATGGGGAGGAAAATTGGTTGAGTTGAGTTTATTTTATAATTTAAACGATGTAACACAAATTAGTAGATCGCCATTATTTGATGATTTCAAGCAATTAGCATTATTATGTTTGGTGTAAAAAAAAAAAAAAACAAGAAAAAAGAAACGAGAATATAAAAAATATTACTTTACCACAATTTGCTTAATTTTTTGTCATTTGTTTTGTCTAGCCTAATATACATATGTATATATCACTTAAAAATTATATTATTTTTTTTTAAATACCGCTACCACTATACGAGTATGTTAAATGTGTACGAATATATATCCAGAGTTCTAAATATGACTGATTTCTAATGGCAGAATTTTAAGTATTTTATAACTTTTTTTTTATATTGCGCAAAAGTAAGCAAATATAAATATTGAATTGAAATTTAACGGAGTTTAGTCGCAAGTATATACGTGAGCGAGGAAGAAAGGAAGCGTTTTTAAGGTGTTTCGAGTAGTAAGGAGTGTGGATAGGGTGTCTCTAGGATTGAATGGTTCATAAAAATGTGACTACTCTAATAATACTTTTGTAATTTCTAATTGAATTAATGTGATTAAATTTGTCACTTTAAGTAAAAAATTAAGTGTTTGAAGAATGAAAGCTCTACAAATACATGTGGTGTATAGTGGCAATAAATATCTAAACATTCCATTTATCTAAGTCAAATACATACTAATAATATATGTATGAAAAATGAAATCACAAATTTTTCTGAAATGAAAAATTAATTGAAATTATTTGAAGTAAGTAAAAAATATTTGAATAATACTTAAGAAATCTTCAAAGTAAAACTTAATGCAATCAGAGGAGCCGCGGAACGGCTGATCAATCTAACAGATCTCTTCAATACAACTTTACCTCATCAAAACTGGCTATAAAATCAAAAAGCGATTTCAATAGACTCTGAAGGAAATACAATACGACCGAGATGTGAGTATCCGAAATTAGAGACATTTATATTAATGTAAAATCCACACAAGTTAAGAGTGAACCTTTATCTTTATCTATTTATGCTAAAACTGGAATTCACTAAGAGGACTTGTGGAAGTGGGTGAGGGAGAATGTCTCATCTATTCAAAATGATCCCGAAGCTCGCCAAAAAAAAATTGTCTGGAGCAGGGATGAGAAGGCTTAAACAGATATCTGTTCTGGACCAGCGATCGATATTCCACCGCTGCACTGAGTGAGAACACCAACGGTAATTGTCATTAAAAACTGGTTTTATATTAATAACGCCAATAAACTTTTCATGATATACCAAATCTAACCCACTCTCTTTTTTCTTTCATTTTACTTATTTCGGGCGAATCCTCAAGGGTATAGCTAACATATTTGCTGTAGTAAACAGAAATCCATTATTTTTGCATTAAATTTAGTGGTTAAATTTTTTTCTTTTCGTATTCAGCCTTATTCAAATGGTTCCCACCATATTTTTGGGCAATCTTTAGCTCTTGGGAAATCGAAGCAGGGCTTTCATGGCGGTCGGACTCGACAATGTCTACGAATTTTATCGACAATCGGCCTTCCACTCCGTGAATCATCCTTTACATCAAAATTACCGGAATGACTGTAACATTATCAGGTCCGTAAACTCTATTAACATTTTCAGCGATATGGCTAGCGTTTTCGCATTTATCGAAAAAACTGTAAATTATAGTAAAAAGAATGCGCTCATTATTAATGGGAAAATTACTATTTTCTGCAGTTAAGAGGAAGAGTCGGTAGTGTTCGATGTCTGCCACCTGTCCATCGCTACGTACCTCGCGACATCTTATAGTGACTGAAAAGAAGTCAAAAGGCTTAAGTGTGTTAGCCACAAGCTGGCGTTTAAATTCTGTTCAGATCAAAGAAATGTTTGAACAAAACCAGTAATTATCCACAGACTTATGTATACATAGCTACATTGTTCTTTTTTTAGAGCCTTTCAGAAAGACTTTAATAGCTCATCTCGCGTCCCGGAAAAAGATGTCTGTGAGTAATGCTAAGCATACACCAATATCAATGAAGAAGAAAAATTAATTTAAGAACAAATATCTAATTAAGAACTAATTGCATGAGAAAAACTTGTTGCAAAAAGAGAAAACAAAGAACAAAGATTGAAAATATAGGGCAGTACTTGCAAATACAAGGTCCAAATGTCTTTAATTCCACGATATTTGGTAAAAAACAAATAAGTCTCTTTGTTACCTTTGGCATGAAGCCAATGGTAAGCATGGAACTTGGAACTTGAGTTTGGTTTAATCTGATAACTACGCTGTACAAGAGAGGAGCAAATTCAGAGTTACCATGTATCTATATGCTGTTCGATGCTTGTTTATAAAGTCACACAAAAATACTACATCAAACGTCATAACTAATTACCACATTCTCTTATTGAAAGCGAAACTAAGCAAATACTCAAAAAAAAAATTTTTATAATCTGGGATTTTATTCGGACCAAGACCCGAAGCCTCGCCGTCCGAATAGTGGTATGCAGTGGTAACCACATATGTATACTTTTAGTTAAATACTATGAGAATAAAAGTTTAAAGTTTCAATCGACAAGAAGCTGGTACTCTTTTGAACCACCCTTACTCAATGGCTTCAGACATTACCTTAGATAGCAAAATCTCTTTAAAACGGAAACACATTGTGTACTGACTAAACGGTTTGGTGTATAGCGCTGCCCTCAACACCTATGGAAGCCCTTGAAATACTGCTACGGGAAACTCTCCTCGAACTACTTAACCATAGGGAAACCGCACGCTCACGCCCAAATACTAAACTCTTCATCACTCTCAGGAGAGGCGGACTTTAGCACTTTTGTCTTCTGTTTGGATAATACTTTCTCAAAAAAAAAAAAAAAAACTCAGAGGGGAACGAATGAAAAAATGAAGGAGTTCTAGATCATAGATTCCTAGGCATCTTCAGCGGCGTCTCTAACTTAGACAGCAAAGTAGGTTGTGGAGTTTACTCTGAACCACTTGCTATTGAATTAAGTAAAAGAACTCTCAGAACTAATCGCGATAACGGAAACGCTTCATGCTTGCTGGTTTCTAATATGTGAATTTATCCTATTGCAATTTATTCTGACAGCCAGGCTGTCAATAAGTCTCTCCAAAGCAATCTTACCACCTAAAAGGTGACAATAAAATGCAGAGAGATTATGAAAAAATATTCGACTTTATGCGAAACGTCCGAGGTTTGGTCATAGGGACGCAAAAGGCAACAGCTTAGTCAAAGAACTGACCAGAAGGGGTATGCCGTTTTCCTGGGAAAAATATCTGCTAAGACAGGACTTCACCAAAAGAAGGGCCAACAGCATAGGGTAGAGCGGCAGCACGCACAATGTGACAAGACAAATTTGGTCAACAATCGAGTTAAACAAAACCAAAGTTCTACTCCTTCAACTATGGACCTCTATAAGCATAACAAACGACCTAAGAATCGGATACTGTCTAATGGAGACTCATGGTAGAAGGACGAGCTGCTTCTCAAACGTTTTCTGTCACAGTTGCAGGGACATAGGTAAGCAGAAATCGGTGAAACACCGCTGCCACTGTCCAGCTCCCAGTACGGTCCGTTATCGCTTTCCTGGAAAGGTGAAAAGAGTCCCTTAGCAGATTTACATAGGTAGCACAACGGTACAGTAGGCCTATATGCACTTGATCAGGGTTCCGTAACCAAGCAACCAGTTATACTAACTAACTATAAAAAAAACGCCTATGTATATTTCAACTATTTTGTAGAAAATTTCTTTACCAAAAAAAAAAAACAAAAATTAAAATACTTAAAACAAACCTTCAAAAAGCAACGAAAACAATGAGTAATAAAACAAGAAATTTTTTGATTAAAATAAATAATTTACATATAAACATATTACATTTATATATTTTTTATATGCAAAAACTTTATTACAATAAATTTATTTTTGATTTGTGGAGAAATCTTCTAAAATGGAAATCATTTAATAATTCCAATTTTTATAACAACAACATTGTTTTGTGTAGGTGTATATAATAATAATTATGTATAATGATATGTATTTATGTATATATGTTTATTTCTTGGGTTAATATTTTTTTATTTAATTAAGTTAAACCAAAAATGAAAAAAAAAAATAAATAAATGCTCTGTTTAGATATGAACTCGAATAAGTGCCGATGAAGCATTAATGACTTAATTACAAAAGAAAACACCATCCATAGCAAATAGCAAAAAAAAAAAAAATATTTATAGTTTTAAAATTCTTACACAATATTTTTCTACATTTAAAATGCTCTTTTATTTAAATAAGTTTTATTATAATAAAACATAATTATTTTAAATCAACGTATAAATGTTACAAAATTAATTAAATGAAATTTTGTCAAAGTCACGCAAGCATAAATAAATCATATCTGTAATGTGTAATAAAATATTAAAATATTTCAACTATTAAAAAAAACATTTTTGCCATATTGCACATAATTTATTTATTTTTTTCCGAATGTTTTAGTATTTAGTGAAGTTCGTTGCAAGTGAAAAGAAATAAAAAATTATTATTATTTATAAACACTGTGCTTTTGTTGAATGAAATATTAGTTTATACCTGGTTTTATTTGCATTTCATATATGTATGTTCTTGAGTATTGAAAAAGATTTGTATGAATAAGCTGATTTGATGGCGAAACTTTTTTGTTGCTTGCATGTGAATGTGAAATGGTAAAGTTTTTAGTGACAGCATATTACTAAGGTGCGCTAAGTTGTTATTGCATTTTCCACAAATTATACGAAAATTTTTAATGTGCGAGCTCACATGAAAGTTGGTTAAAAAATTTTCATTGACTTCCAAATTTTTAATATTTATTGTTAAATTAATTGTATTTATTCATTAATTTCATTCGGTTTTTAGGTTTTCCCTAAACTTTGTCTATTGAATATTAATATTTATTTTCCTGAAATCTTTTTTTTTTTTGATTATTTCTGGAATATCGAATTAATCTATTTTTAAGCTTAGCTAAAATAGAAAATTCTTTGATATTGGTTTTCCCAATAATTTATTCTTCGTGTCATGAGCCATTTAGACGCTCGATCCAACAATTAACTTATATAAAACTGAAGAGAATTACGATCGCACTGCTTTCATTTTTTAAAAATATGATGTATTTTTGAAGAAAAAATTGGCTGCTTGGTTGATTGAAGTTTCAAAATTTCTAAGTTTTATCCATTTTGAATTTTTATTTATTTTCATTTTTCTTCACATGACAATATTTAGACCTGATGTATATTATAGATATATACACTATTCGAAAAATATTCAAGGCAACAGCAACGTTGCAATACTACAACAACCTCTGATAAAATGTAGAAATTCAGTTGGTGCTGCTATAATATAAAACGTGATTGTTGCGAAACCATTAAAAAAATAAGCTAAATAGTAAGGTTTTACGAAAGCAACTCATTATCTCAATAGTTTGTAAAATTTATATAAAATGTCCTACATTGTTTAATATTTTCTTAATTTTTATGAGTTTTTGAACATTTTCGCTCTCAAAATCGAAAACAATAATTTATTTTTTATTTCTTTATTTCTCGTTTCAGCAAATTTTTGAGCGAGCTACACCAATTTATTGTGGGCGTCTGGAAGTGTTTCTTAGAAATGCAGCACTTACAGTTTTAAGGTGCCTGCGTCTTTGAGAAGATTTTATTTCATATCAGAAACACGTATTGCCTTTCTCTGTCGAAAAGCGAAAGCCTTGGCTCGTGGCTTCTAATTGCAGTACAAAATAAATTTTTAAGAGATTGAATTTTGCTGGCATTAAAATTGCATTTTTTTGCTTTTAAATTACGCCATCGTCAAGGGTGCTCTATGTACGAGTACAGTTTATCATTTCATCAATGACACATATGCAGCCGTCGCTATTGCCTACCTTTAGGCGCAATTTTTCTATTTGCTTACTATTCAATGTAATTTCTTGCATTAAAAAATAATTTTCAATTTTCTTTTTGTTCTGTTTTCTCACGTAAATAGGTATTTATTTGATATATATATATATGTGTATGCATATGGTACGTTTTTACAAACAAAATTTAAATTAATTATTATGTATTATGTATGCAAATCAAATTGTCATCGTCAAAACTTAAAATCTAAACAAAAATGAAAAGAACTGAAAATTACAGTTTTTGAAATAAAATCTAATACAAAATATATTATATGAAAATAATTATATTAAGAATTACAAATTAACAAAATCATAGTACATGCTACTGATTAATAATAACATTATGATGTAATATATCTAGCTTTACATAAACAATATTTTGAGTATGAAAAAATGATGAATTTATTGCAATTTTTTCGTTTCAAAAAGTATTGAAATTTCGCTCAATTTTCGAAAATAAAATATGTATATAATTTAAAATTTAATATTGTCACATTTATTACAGTTATAAGTTTAAAATAAGCTTTAAATTTTCGTATGTGCATTATAAATACAGAATACATTTCAAATACGTTTTGCAAATAATTAAACTTTAAATTTTAATATGAGCAAGTGCGTTCTCGAAAATAAAATAAAGTTTATTTTAATCGGAAAAATATAGTGAAATTTAATAATGCAAATAATATAATGTTCAATTAGCTGCTATGGGATATTGCATTTCTGGCACCTTTTGAGTTTATTTAGCTAACTTTAGCTAACTTTAATGCCTCAAAACTAACATTCAATCGAAAACTTTTGTGTGTTAGAAATGTAAAAGTTAGACATTTACATGCTAATTGCAATCGATTTATTTGTTTTTTTAATGTTTTTCAAAACTACAAAATAATTAATATTTATGTGTTTGTATGAAATGCACTAAAATTTATAATTTACATATAGGCATGTACATGTATGCTGTACGCAGTGAAAACTAAAATGCTAAATATGTATAAATATTTTTAAATCGTTCATTTTATTTTTTATTTTTTATTATTTTCATTTTTTTTTTCAAATTATTTTCACACTACTACTGCATACTGCTAAACGAATGAAACGCTACACTCTTTCTTTGCACTTCTACAATAGAATATACAATTCAAAGTTAGCTTAATCATAACGATATGTATGTATATGTGTGCATATGTTTCCATTCTTAGAGGAAGAAAAACAATGGCTGATTTCTTTTCTTTTTCTTTTTTTTTTGAATTTGTGTTAATGTAAATGCTTCATTCTCTATTTGCGTGTAATTTTTTTTCTTTGGAAATATCTAAAACTACAAAAGACATCACTCATATAATAATAAATACATATACATACATACAAAAGTATATGTATTAAAATATGAATAATTTATAGATTATCGTTCAACAAAAGTTTCGCCTAAATCATAATTGTCGACTCACCACCCCCAACAATACTCAGACCGTTCATGCGTAATACATGCGGATTTGTTGTTATCGCTGTGGTAATGCCCCCACCAATGCCAATGCCACCAATACTATTTGGTGTTGTTATTGCTGTTAATGTATTTGATGATGAATTACTGGTATTGTAATTGTAATTGTAATTGTAATTATTATATTGACTGCTGCTTATACTGTTATTAGTTGCTGTATTGTTGTTATTGGTATTCGTAGCGCTACTAAATGCAGTTGTTGTATTCTCGATGACCGGTGTTTGTGGTGAGTCCAATGGGCGTATACCAACAAATGAGGATTCAAGCCAGCATTTTCTGCAAATTCGTTCAAGAGGAAGATGGAGAAAGGAGAGAAAAATTTAAACAAAAAATATTAGCAAAGTTATTTAAATTTATTAATAAATTTTGCTTTCTAATGAATAAGTTATTCCAGTTAGTTGTGTGTTAGTGTTAATGTGTTAAAGCCTTGGAAAATTTTCATTAGTGCTGTAAATCATTAACTTGTAATACTGTTAGTTTAATGGGAAAGCTTTTTTTTATTTCTAAAAAAATTTCGATTGAACTCGAATAAATTGGTATTCTCTTATCAATTCATGTCATGGATTGCTGGTATATTCTGATCATTTTGTGCAGTTTTGATAGATTTATTATTATGTATTATATAATATAATATAATTGGCGCTTTATAGCCGCTGAAGCGAGCCGAGCTTCTCCCCCAATTTTTTGGTGTGCGTCTTGATGTTTTTCCAACAAATAGAGGGACCTACAGCTTGCACGAAACCGTCTCCGAACGGCCGATGAAATTTTTTAGGGAGTTTTTTTTTATTTCATGCGAAGGGCTTAACATTCCCCGCCGAGGACCGAGCGCAAAAGGAAAAAATAATTTTTGGTTGTTGGTCGGACAAGAGCTCACACTACGCCAAGGTTCGTATGTTGCGCTAACCACTCAACTATTGCGGCCGCCTTATATGTATGAAAATTGTAGAAAAATGAAGATATTTGAAATTGAAAATAACAAGTTACAAGTCAATATAGGAATCTACTTTAACATTTATAACTTGTTATTTTCAATTACTCAGTATTTATATTACTGAATTTTAAATTTCAATTATTTTCATTTTTTGAATCATTATAAATTTCATTTAAAAAAAAATAAGAACAAACTTTATTAAAAATAAAATATTTATAAATATCATACTCATTGTTTAAACCTTTTTTTGATATTTTCTATGTAACACTTTTATTGAAAAAGTATTCAACTCCAGTTTTAACTGGAAATAATTTGCAACACTTAAGATGAGCATAACATTAAAAAAAAATATATAAGAAAAACACTTAATTGCTTTTTATTATCAGAATTATTATTAACAGAAACTTTTAAAAGTGGCAAGCTCGAAATATATTTTTATTAAGTTTTGTAATAAAATTGCTTTTTGAAAGCACGAGAAAATCAAATTTTCTTATCTTAATTTTAACGTTCTCTTAAGACTCAATTTATTAAGGATATTCACTTGTTATAGGAAATGCATGGCTAGGAAGCGTACATACGAAAACACACCCATGCGTTATTATAGTAAGACTTACTATAATTTCGATATGAATCAATTCAAATTCATTTTTTGAAAAAAAAAAAAAAATTAAAAAAAAAGGATTTGTTCAGCGCAATTTTAAATTAATTATGAAAAAAATCCAATTACGTTCTATTTACTTTTAATATACAAACACAACACTAAAACAAAAAAAATTATATATGTATGCATGTAAATACTTATGATTCAACTACGCTCCAAATCACTTTCACATTGTATTCATTATTTTCATTGTCAAGTCTTGCTTTTCTACTAAATACACTACATACTATATATAGATAAATACATGTGCATATGTATGTATGCAGTCTATTATTCGTGTTGAGTTACAAACAGATGTTTATCATGCACCCTTCTTCGCCTAAGCTTATGTTGCATTTCTTCTATTATTTGCACTGTAAATTTCTCAAAAAAAAAGAAGTAATTTATGCTTGCATTTGCACTTTCGGGGTGAATGTGTGTGTATTCGCGTGCAATACTACACGTGAGTGGGTGGCAAAAAAATCAATACATTTTTCGTGTACTGCATTTATTCACTGTTGTCTGCAGTAGGGAAATATTTTTTTTTTCGTTTTGGAATTAAAAAGTGCATGGAAATAAAGGGGTTGGCGTGAAATTGTAAGCAGTTGCAAGTTTTCTTGCAGTATAATGAAATTAATTTTTTAAGAAATATATATGAATATACAAGTACTAGATATTCAGGATTACACACATAAACTAGCTGCATTGTGAGTCATTTTCAACATAGGTACATACATATGTACATATGAAATTTTTTAAAAGAATTTTTTAATACAAATTTCATTTCCCAGTCCATACCAATTAAATGCAGAGGATTACCTTCCAAAACCTCCGTAATTGGGTTATTAGGTTATGAATCATCATCAGGCGAGGATGTGAATGGCCACGCATGTACGAGTATGCTAGATACATATGTATAAGCATATAAATAGATAAATGTTTAGGTATTGATGTACCATTTAGCAGCATCGAGTATGTTGAACTGATACATTTATTTATATGTAAGAAGGAATATTGGTTATGTGTATATATAAGGGCTAACCAATGATTTTTTATTTGCTCAAACGCCAGAAAGTTTGAAAATAAAAAAGAAAGTTTTTTATGAACTTTTTTTTATTTGCAAATGCTAATTACTTTGCAATGAAAACAAAAAATACTTTTACTAAGAATTTCACGTACTATAAACATAGAAGATCAAGAAGATTTTTAGGTGAAAAATTATTTTTATTTAATTTAAGATACTTGAAAAATGCAAAAAAAAATTAAAGATTATTTTCAAAAATTTTTTTTATTAATAAAAGAAAAACATTTAAAGCTAATTTTTTTTTAAATCCTGAGTTCTTAATATATATTTTAAATTTAACAAATTAATAAAGAATAATAATTTAATAAACTTAAATATGGACTTATTTCCTTTAAATTATAAAAAAATATTTTATTAATAGTAAAATTAAATATATTTTTTTTATTACATTATAGCTTAATTTTTTATATACATAAAAAAACTTTGTTAAGTTCAGCCGTAAGTCTTAACTGAAATAAAGGGTTTCTGGAACAACATTTTAATCGAAATCCTTTCTAAGTGCAAGAAAAGTGACGGAAAGTTGATTTTATGTATATCTTTTAACTATCCTAATATAATATGTATACATATATATTTTCCATTAGTGCATAACATAGCTAAACAAATAAAGATTCACGTGGTAGCACAGTAATAACAAATAACTTGATTGGCTGGTAAATAAAAATGAATGAAATCTTTTCAAAGTTTAGTAAAACGTTGAAAGTTTGTCAATTTTGTTTTTGTATTAGCGAAAAGTTTTTTCTTTCATATATGTTGCAAGTCGGTTTAAGTATCAGAAAAAAAGTTTGCCGAAAAAGTAGTCGAGTATTTTAATAATCGAAACAATATTTTCGGAGCTTTTAACTATTTTTTTATTTTATCAGTGGAATAGAATATATTAAAAAAAACTTCAATATGTTAAGACTGTTGAAAAACTTCTTATCGGAGTATATGTATGACTATGACCGAGGTTTTCTAAGAAGCAGAGGTAAAAAATTGTATGCCTGAAATATGTAAAACATTTTTTAAAGAATCTTTCATCATTTATAATCCAAGAAACTCCATAATTATTAAAAATAAATATAAAAAGAGTAATCTTTAAAAGATATTTAACCTAAAAGCTTTTTATGAATTTTTGATCAGATTATTTGAAACTCGAACTATATTTTACCATTTTATTTGTTATTTTAGCGGAAAAAATGTAAATTGAATGAAGAACTCACTTTCTTATTCACGTCAATCCGTTAAATATTCTTTAATCTTTTCACTGATTTTTATTCCACTCTAGTTTTTTCAATTGAAAATCTTTACTTTTTGCTCAAAGTCCTACTTACACTGGGTAACACTTTGACAAAGACGCTGAGCGTGTTAATTATATTAACTTTTAATACTTTTATTTCCTTTATACGCTTTATACACACACTCTGAAATGAAACACTTTCAAAAAACTGACTTTTCACTCCCGTTGCGCAAGCGAAGAGGAAAATACGTCCAACATCAGACACGTTGCAGGCAGCAATGAAACCGAATGGCGAATGGAACTGGATAATATGTACTATTAACCTCTCCTCTACCTCTAGAAAGCACAAGCACTCACACACACACAAACACAACCGTGTTGAAGCATACCAGAAAACGGCACTTGTTTTGGGCAGACATACAGGAATATATGTTGACCTAGCAACAAATACACGTACAATATATACATATGTACTTATATATTTACTTGCAAATACCGCAATGTCTATTTTGTATTATAAAAATGTTTTTTTTTATGCTTGTGTATAATTTTATCTATGTATAGTAGCGTTAAGTAGTATTGAAGTGGTTGTAGGACAACTACAAAAAAGTTGTCCACCACATAAGGAAGCCATTTCTTAAAAGAATTTTATAGAAGGAATATATATGTGAGCTAATTTGTGCTTGTGTGTGTTAAAAGGAATTGCTGCGAAAGATCAGAGTATAAAATGACGTAGCAAAATTGCCACTGGCGCCTGAAATTATGCTTCCTTCTACTGCTTGTGCTCTGCATGGCTTTTGTTGTCCTAGTCTCCGACTTGTCGGCTGATGCTGTTACGATTTGTTTTTTGTCTCTATTACTTTTTAGGTTGGGTTCATTGTACATATATGTATATATATATATATATATATATTTATATATATGTGTGTATGTATATAGGTAGGTTTATAGCGTAAAGCTCATAGTGTGCTAGTGTAAATACGAATTTCGGGTTATTTGTTTTCAAAGATATCCATAGCGTTGCTTGGCGTGCAATACCGCGTGAAGCTTGCCAAATTTAACAGGAGAAGGTAAATAGTGACATGTGCAAGAAAATAGAAAGAATTATTTGAATGAAATATTGGTTTATTAGATTTATTTCGGATTCGCAATATACAAATAATAATTCACTTTAAAAGTCGTAAAAGTAGTGAAAATTTATATATACGTAGCATTTCAGGACTATATGTAACTCATTTATGTTTTATGCGAGATATTGAAAAAATGTATTTACAGATTTTATGACTAAAAAACATAATTTTCAATCGAAATCATTCAATACAAAATTGGCATGAAAAGAAAATTTAAGAGGTCCTATGAGGTAAATTATCATGAAAGCTTTGGGTATTAGCTGGTATAAAAT